TATTGATTGAAAAGATTAAAGTGTAAAGGAGAGAATATGCCAGGAGGAATAGTTTGGGAATCAGAATGATTTCAGTGATGGTGAAGATGGTTAGGTAGGACTTTGCTATATCTATGATGCTTCAAAGAGGTGGCTGTAGAAGGAAAACCAGAAGAGTTACTGGACAGAATAAAACTAGCACTATATAAACCTGGATGGTATTTCTAATGGTGGCATTGAGGACCTTCTAGCATGCATCATCACCTCAATTCTCCTATCTTGGAAAATGCTGTCTTCTTGTGGTTTTCATTTTAAACTAATTTGTGAATATTAAAAACTCCTTCCACCCAGTTATACTCTGGGGATAAAGAGCTGCTTATAATTTTTAGCACATTATTTGCCATCTCTTAGTTCTATTTTTTTTTGCATGATTTCTTTGCATAGAATTCATTATCCTAACTTGTCTTCTATCCTCATTCTTTACTCAACTGAAAATTTCCTCCTATGGGAAGCCTTCCGCGACTCTACCAGCAGATGTAGAGATTGTTTTTCTTGTGGTATTTCCTCTATGCCATGATAGAGCAATTATCTATTGCACTCTAAACTTTTTTAATGTCTGTGTGCCCCCTATACCTTAGGCTGCTTTAAACCACAGAGATGGACTTTCAATAAAACTGCCCAAATGTATGCATAAATAAGGAAAAGAATAATACAGTGAACAAATAAATCTCATACAATCAATTTTCCTGGCCAGGGTATTACCACCATTTATTCACTCATTTATTTCAAAAAATATTTATTGAGAGCCTACTATGCATCAGGCATTGTGCAGGTACTGGGAATAAAGCAATACACAAAGTAGAAAATGTGTAGCCCCCTTAAAGCTTCTAATCTTTTTTTTTTTTTAATCCTCACTTGAGGACATTTTCCCCATTGATTTCTTGAGAATGGAAGGGAGGGAGTTGCGGGTTTAGGAGGGAGAGATAAAGAAACATTGATGTGAGAGAGACACATAGATTTGTTGCCTTCTACACCAGTTCCTACTGAAGCTGGAGAACCTGCAACTGAGGTATGTTTCCCTTGATTGAGAATCAAACCTAAGACCCTTCAGTCTGCAGGACAACATTCTGATCACTGAGCAATTGGCCAGGACAAGAGTTTGTAATGTTTATGGGAAATTGAGGTATGAGACAACAAACCATATTCATAAGTGGAGTGCATTGGGGCAATGAAAAGAGTCCTTTGGACTAAAAGAGTGACCGCACCTTCTTGCTTTCCCAGGAAAGTCCTGACTTAATAACTAAATGTCACCCTCTTCTACTCTCAAATTAACTGTTTCAAATATAATCACTAAAGGGTTATTATTTTTGTTACCAAGGAGAAAATATATATAACTGAAGAATGGATGGGTCAGATTGTCATCACTCTAATCCAGTGAACAATTTTAGCATAATTAAGACCAATCAATCAGATATTAGGTTTCTGGATATTCTATCACATCACATATGGTATATCCTAAAAATTATTTAACATGATTCCATCAAGCCTTTAGATTCAAATTCTAATTTACTGGAAATACAGATTTAAGGAAACAACTAAGTTACAGCATCAGACAAATCCAGAAGCTGGAAAGGAACTGTAGGAAAACTGGTTCAGCTTTCTTTTGTTATTAATTCTCACTTGAGGATTTTTTTCTATTGATTTATAGAAAGGGTATAAGAGAGGGAAGGAGAGAGAGAGAGAGAGAGAGAGAGACAGAGAGAGAGAGAGAGAGAGAGAGAGAGAGAGAGAGAGAGAGAGAGAGAGAGATATCAATGTGAGACAGACACATTGATTGGTTGCCTCCTACCCGACCCTGACACTGACCCTGATTGGAGTTGGGATCAAACCTGAAGCACAAGTAGTGCCCTTGACCAAGATCAAACCCCAGACCTTTTGGTGCCTGCTGACCCTCTAACCACTGAGATATGCTAGCTGTGGCAGTTTGTTTTTGTTGTTTTTTAACAAGTTAGAGTCTGTGACAAAAATGTAGCTTGATTAAAGGAGACTTAAAACATATAATAACCAGAAGAAATACAGACAAGCCAACTGTATTAATTCATTTTAAGAAACTTGAAGTAATTTAAATATGAATCAGTTATTACATAAGTTGAAAATGTATTGTTTGGAAAGGCAGAGATAGTTAAAGGGGGAAAAAGTTGATTACAAGGAACACATACAGAATGATCTCAAAAAAAGAAATATATGTGTATGTATATAAGTACATAATATCTCAAAGGATACACAGATGTTCAATAAGGTTAAGGAATAGCAATGTACTAGGTACAGAGAATATGGCGCCAAGTCATTTAAATAAAATGCATTTTTGCCTTGCCAGTTTGGCTCAGTGAATAGAGCATTTGCTCTTGGAGTCAAGGGTCCCAGGTAAGATTCTGATCAAGGGCACATATTGTCATTGCAGGCCCAATCCCAGGCTCTTGTCTGGGCCCATCTGGGAGGCAACCAATTGATGTGTCTCTCTTATATCAATGTTTCTCTCTCTGGTTCTCTTACCCTCCCTTCCATTCTTTCTAAAAATCAATAAAAGAATATCCTCAGGTGAGGATTAACATTAAAAAATAAATGTATTTTGTTGTTTGTGTTTTCCTATTGTCTACAATACAAAACATATGCTAAGAATATGCTAAGGCCGCTCAACTGCTTGCTATGATGTGCATCGACTACCAGTGGGCAGATGCTCTAACTGGTAGGTTAGCTTGCTGCTTCAAAGTTATCAAATAACTCAGTTGAGAATACAAAAAATGAACACATTGGGACTAAGACATGCAGACACACCCGAGAGCCCTCCCGCTGGGCAACCTCCCACTTCCCTCAGCGGCCAGCCCTGATCATGCATTGGTGGGGTCCCTTGGCCTGGCCTGCACCCTCTAGCAATCTGGGCTTAGGAACCCTCTTTCCAGTGCAGAATTGTGTGCACAGGGCCTCTAGTAGTTAATAAAGGGGCAGGTAAGTAAAATTGTCCAATTTTATAAATTTTACTTTTTCTTACTGTAATTAACTGTATATGACTAAATTACAATACACAGAATATAGTGAGTTATTTTAATATTTCAACCTAATAATCTTATGTATGTATACTTTGATATATATTATTTTTTCTCTCTAAGCATGCTGAGCTATCCTGTCAATGATTACTTCTTCAGTATTTTATATTTGTTTTGATGTTCACTAGTTGCTATACAAAATATATTCTTTGCTAGGTTTTATTTGGGGATACCTTATTAAGTTATAGGGCATTAGAAATAAATATTTCCAAGGTAATTAAAGAAAAAATACTAATATTCCTCCCATAATATATTATACAAAATGTTTTTATTGAGAAAATTTCCAAAACTATCATAGATGTCCATTATTACCATAACCTTTTGAAATATTTTCTCATACAAATAAAATTTAAGAAGGAAAAAATTGCATCTCTAAAATTTAATAAACTAACATAATGAACTTACCCCTGTCATTCCCCAGAAAGATTCAAGAGATATATTAGAATATATAAAAGATAACAGTTTTATCATAAAATTCAAGTGAGAATAAAAACTTTTAAAAACAAGGTTGAGAAAAAGGAAGTTTTTAAGTTCATAGAATAATATCCATATAACTAGAAAATGTGGTCTACAAAGAAAGTGAATCAATTGCTCTGACTTATAAGATTAGATCAGAAATTCTCCTGAGAATACTGGTAAAGAAATACCTTTTTAAATCATAAGCACCATTCTCAAAAACATGAAAATATGTACTTGGCTTTCATCATCTCATTTTCACATTACTTTTAGTGGTTTTTTTTGGGGGTTTTTTTTGAAGTGTTTCTTTTGGAGTCTTCAGAAATTCACAACTAAATTTCCATTTCCAAAGAACTAATTTCCAGCTTAGTTCATAGTTCATTAAGGGATTGATGCTATTCATGTGAATTACAAGAAATTGGAAAGGGTGAGATTAAATTTTATAAGCATTCTAAAAACTTTACAATTTAAAAAATGCAAGACGATTACATTATGAATATGAATGAATTCCATTAGCAATCATTCATTGATTTAAATGTCTACAGAATCCTTTTTTTCCCCAGAAAAAGCACATATTTTATGAGGAAATTTGATTATTTATGTAAAGAGTTATGAGGCTTTATTTATTTCAGTCAAAAATATTTGTTAAATGTTAACATATATCAGATATTTTGCAAAGGGTTAAGGATCTACTTGTGAGGGGACAACTGAGTTATTGAATGCTAACATAGTACATTTATAAAATATATTTAGATGTCCAATCAATAAATGAGTGAACTCCTCATTTAACTATTATTGCTGCAGTTTAATAATTTGGCAACATATAAGCAAACAGGGAGTGGTGTTAATAATACACAGATCTCTTATATTGTTAATGAGAAAGGAAGTCACCACTGACTCTTATTAATTGACATTTGGAGTGTGAAGGGGAAACTTATCTTTAAATTCTACCAGAAGCTGGCACAAATTTTTTCTCCAGTTTTAACAGAAGCATAGCAATAGTAGGTGGTAATATGTTAGACTGAATTTAAAAGAACCATCTTTTTCAAAGTTACCAGTAACTCACTCAGTTGAGAATACAAAAAGTGAACTGAAACCCAGGGAAAGAGCTAAGAGTTTGTTAATCCCTTCAAAGATTTGTTAATCTCTGGCATCTTTTGAAGGTTGCTTTCTATTCTTAGTGTCACTTTATTTTAATATCACCATGTCACAATGTCTAATAGCAATATGGAAATCACAAACAAACTCAATAAGAGAGAAAGAGAGAGAGAGAGAAAAGAATGAGGAATAATATGAGAATACTAAAAAAGAAGTGACAAACTTTTTTTATTAGTTGCACAATTAATTTAGTTGAACATGAAGTTTAAATAACTGTTCCTTGGTTTACCTGCTATTTTATTCACCTGAAATTATTGGTTGATTAATTAAATAACATTCGAACACAGAATGATATGCAGCACCCTATACCCTTGTGTCCACAGCATACATTTTGGCAGTCTCTGTCCGAGGGGCCACGTATGATTTGGCCATGGAAACAGCTGCATTCGAATAGGTTTTCCTCATGGAATAAGGATAGTTCCTTTCAGGTCCCACATCTGTTTAGGAGAGGTAATTGTAGGGATATAAACATAACTATGGCTGAGTAAACTTTGGGGAATAAAATAATGTCAGTTTACATATTCTTCTACAGATGTGACAAGAATATACATATTTTAAGAAAGAAACATCTAAGAAGACCTCTAGATGATAATATAGATTTTTTATCCTATAAGTTATTTTTAGATTTAAAATTTAGCCAGGTATTCTCTTTATTTTTTTCTTGATAAGGAGAGAATTTTATTTTTAAGTGTTATTTTTAGAAACCAAATTGCAATTTTTAACAACAAATATGTGCTTTGCCTTGCAGTCTACTTCTCTATTTAACTCTAGATATAAATGTAATAGATTGGGTGAAATAAGAGATATAAATTTATGATACATCAAATTAATCATTATATGTTTGGATATTAGACAGTTGTAGTTATGGTATTTTTTTCAATAAATGTACCACTAACTGGATAATAGTTTGAATATTATAAATGAGTTGTCCTTGAACAACTGAAATTTTTAATAGCAGTGAGTAGAGATGAATGAAATAATATTGAGTTGGTAAGATGTGTTTCCATTGGGTTGGGGAAAATGATACAGGAGGCAGGGAAGTATGCTATTTTATTTTTTTCTTACCTTTGAAGATGTATAAGCAGCATGTGAGGACAGCCCCAGCCAAAAAGCAACCCATAGATCCAGCCATTCCAAGCCAACAGGACCAACCAAATTTATATTGGATGCCAAGAAATATATTGTGCAAAACCAGAGAAGAGCGTTCCACATAAACATCAACAGCATACCACACAGAGCCAATAATTCCTGGGACACCTGAAAGAAAGGGAAGATGCAAAACAAAATTGCAGGTTTTTTTCTAAATTTAAATTTTGCTACTCAAAACAGATGGCATCATGCAAGGAATAATAATGATACTGTGTGGATTCATGAACAACTCAAATTTTGGTCACCTCTTTTATCTGTTCCTGTGGCCATCTCTCTTGTATTTCTTCCAAATTACATCTCAGAAATACAAAAATAAGAGAGTGCACTGCTCATCTGTTTTTGTAAACCTAAATTGGTCACTATGGTTTTCTTTATTTTTTCTCTTTCCAATGTTATTTTAGTACTGTAGAAAGAAAACTATTAAAACAAAAGAAAAATATAAATAAGATAAAGAACACAAAATGTAAGACAAATAATGCACATATATTCTTTCTATATCAATATTTTAATTGAAAGTAGATGTCTTTAAGAACATTCTATTGCTCCTCTTCTCCACCACCCAGCCCCATTATTAAAGCTATGTCAGCTACATAACATACACTCATATAGGAATTAGGTTCTTAAAGTCATTCATTTTAGTGTGTTGGGGTTAAAAACTAGTAACTGAAGTAAAAATTGTCTTCAATTTCAAATAAATTCTTACCTATCACCCCCATATATAAGAACAGAGAAAATGTATTCCTTGTAAATATAATTTATTCCTTTTAAATATAATTTATTCCTTTTAAATTAGTCTAACTGACAAATGACTGGCTTGAAGTGATGCCACTAAGTTCCTCTTGTTTTAAAGGATTAAATTGCACATCAGGACCTAGATGGGGGGGAAAAAAAAGATGGGAGGTTGGAGGATAAAAGACTATGTGACAAGGGTATTTCTGAAACTTGTAGTGTCCAAAATGTTTTTCACATTTTTTTCTAGGGAGTTTGTGATATCTATTTAAACCACCATTTCATTGAATTCTTCTCCCAATTATTTTATACAATTTTTAAGAAGAACCAGATCGTGAACATATAATCTTTAGATAATAGGGTATAAATTATTATGCCTTTTCTATAATATCGTAACCAATGGGTTTAGAAAGGAAATTCCTTTTGTTAAAACCTAGAATCTATGTAAATACCAATACTGAATGTTGGTTCCAAGTCTTTGGCCATGTCTGGCAATTTAAATGTAATCGTTTTTTGTTTGTTTGTTTGTTTTTTTCTCTATAGACTTGGTTTTCTTTAACTTAAACTCATTCTATTGTTTTATTTTTAAAAAACGGAGCATCTAGTGATATCTCAAAAAGTATTCTGTAACAAAATGTATAGCATTAATGTATAGAAGGTTTAAATTTGTTAAATAAAACACATTGTTACACAGAAAAGCTTTATAGTTCACTAGGCTGGATATGGAACTACATGTCTTAAAAAAAGAAATATAACTAAATTCTTGTAACTTTTTAATACAATCTAAGGATCATCAGGGCCTTAACTCAATGTTTGCATGTGAAAAAATCAGGGAGAACCCGGTTTTCAGTTGGTGATAGGTTTGACTCTCTGCTATGAGCTTGGTCTGCATATATTGTGATCTTCCCAAGAGCAATTCAAAGTAGATATTATTGCCCGGGTTTCAGCCTATTATGAAGATCAGAAAATGAAGACAGGTTAAGTAACTGGTCTAATAAAACCATAATATGCTAATTAGACTGGACAGCTGAAGGACCTTCCAGATGAAGCCAGAGCTCTATCCATTCACTACCCAGAGTGTCTGGTCAGGTTCTCACTTACATTTGCTTTGCTAACTTTTTGATCCTAGCATAAAAGACAGTTTCTCGCTAGAGGATATTTCTGTTGGTTTCTTCAACAGGATGCTTCCTCCCAACTTGTATCAAGATCCAAAGATGACATCAAGTTAGAGAAAGACTAAGTTTTGAAGTTGACAACAGAAATATTGAGTAAAATATTAATTGTGCTGTTTCACTAATAAACATCATCTAAAGTGTTTCTTGACTTATGGTTTATTAGTCATGCTTGATTTATTAGTCTTCAGAACTCCATTTATTCATCTGCTTCTTAAGTAAAGAACGTTTTTTAAAAATAAAACAATAATATCTGCTTATTGTTTAGTTTATAGTCAAATGGGTTGGCACATGAGAAAAGTCTAACATAAGACTTGGCATAATTTAATTCATTGCTAAAAAGAATTGGTGGGGGTGGGCATAGGTAAGGAGGTTTAATTTGGGGCTTAACAGAGAATTTAACTTCAGGAATAATCACATTAGAAATTTTTTTTTATAAATTAAAGCATTATACAGCTTTTTTAGATGGTTGAAAAATAGTTTGAGAACTTTGATAAATCTTGATCTGCCATATTAATAAAAAAGATTAATTATCTGATTCCAAAGCAAAAGAAATTAAGAATAGTGAATGTGCCTTTTATTCCTTCAACTTAGAAAAGGAAGTCACACAGGATCTTAAAATGACCACTTCAGAACATCACTCTTCTCCTTCACCTCCAGAACCCTGAAACACCAATCAAAGAATATGCACCCATATATTCATAGCAATGTTATCTACAATAGCTAAGATCTTAAAACAGCTCAGGTTCCTATCAGTGTGTGAGTGGATAAAAAAAAGTTGTGGTACATTTACACCATGGGATACTATATAGCTGAAAAAGAAGGATTTCTTACCTTTTGCAATAGCATGGACAACCTGGATAATGCTGAGTTAAATAAGGCAGTCAGAGAAAAACAAATATCATATGATCTCACTTATATGTAGAATTTAATGAACATAATAAATTGGTAAATAAAACAGGCCCAGAAGAGGCATGGATGCATGAAATAAGCTGACATATCTCAGAGGTGTGTATGTGGGGGAGTGAGGGGAGATACAGGGAGATATTAACCAAAGAAACTGTATTCATATATGTATAACCACGAACACAGACAACAGTGTAGTGAAGGCCTTGGGAGGGCAGGGGCTGGGGGATTAATCATAGGAGATTTGGGACATCTGTAATATTGTCAATGATAACAATTTTTTTTAAAAGGATCGTAGATGTGTATATCTGCCCCTACCTCTAGTCTAGACCAGTACCTGCTATTAATAATGTGGTCCCAGCAACAACGCAGATGCGCACTTTGATGTATGGCTCATCAGGGAGGAATTTCACACAATGGAGACCCAGGAGCAGCATAATAAATCCGAACCCAGCTAGAATATCTGCAGTGATCATCAATGCCCGAGTCAGCACCAGCTTCACTGCAAGATTGGGGCAGATGTTACAGCATATTCAGAGGAAGAAAACATACTAACTCACAGAAGTGCATAAAAAACAGGCAATCTGAAAGTGATATATTTAGATTTGCATGAGCTTGGAAATGAATACCTTTACATTTTTCATAAAACAAAAATATTATGAGACTATTGGCATTATTATTTGTTTAAGCACTGATTATTACTTAGTCTTGTTGCCTCCGATAAAAATTCCTAGTATAGTTAAAACCAGTTTGGCTCAACGAATAGAGCCTCGGCCTGCAGACTCAAGGATCCCAGGTTCGATTATGGTTGAGGGCATGCACCTTGGTTGCTGGCACATCCCCTGTGAGGATTGTGCAGGAAGTGGCTGATCGATGTTTCTAGCTCTCTATCCTCTCCCTTCCTCTCTGTAAAAAAAAAAATAAATGAAATATATTTTAAAGAAAAATCCCTAGTATATAGTGGGGACTAAATAAATGTTTCTCTTTTGCTTCCTGTTCTGGACTGAATCCTGTTCACAAGTACCATAACTGGACGCTGAATTCATAGTAGAATATCTGTTATGCAGAAGTTACTCAGTGAATATTCAATAATAAATGACCACTCTATTTGTTTGAACTTTTATTATAAAAAGTTAAAAATAATTTGTTAAAGTTTGATATTGGGGAGCAAAATTAATTTTTAAGACATCTCTTGTGAATTTAGGCTGGTGGAAGAACTGTAGAAGACTATTTCTAGAAGAAAGATTATATTCTCTTTCACATTCCTTCAAGCCATGACCTTTCATGGCCAAGACTTCATATTAACCCTTTCATTTGCATTGTCAACTGAGCATATTTTAAAGCTATAGCCAGTGAGAATAAGCAGTAGAAGGCACAGGGAAGAGAAGATAAGGAAAATAGAAGTGGAAGAGTAGCAATCACCTCCTGCAGTGGAAGCACTTTCCACTGGAAAAGCCTCCTGAAGGAGTGATGGATATGTTAATTTAACAATAGAAAGATTTTATTATGTGGAGGGTTAATTACCCGAAGTCAGAACTACTAGTCTTTTAGCTGAATAATAGAGAGAAGTAATAAAATTTATTCCTTTAATGATATATTAATTAGGTTTTATATTCATAGTGATTTGGGGTTCCCTTGCATTATAAATAATTTCCCCCAATGATGAGGTAACTTTAGGGCCTATTTAATAATAGGTTGCTTGCAAAATTGTGGCCAATTTTTCTTATTTAAAACAAAAAAACAATATTTTTATGATCTACGTAAGAGAAAATCAAAGCGTAAAATCAGCTTCTACATTAGTAGTTATATATACTATACGCAATTATTGTGTTATTAAAATGTGAGTATATATTCATTTCTAGAATGGAATTTTTAAGGTCTCAAAACTTTGTATTATTTTTTTTTTAAATAGGCTCAAATTTCAAACTTAGGTTAAACGTAAGGCTGACTTTTCTCAAAATTAAGGAAAGAAAATAATATGTAACTCATTGGTTTTTATATTTCAACAGATACTCCTGATCCTCAAATGATATACACAAGTAGGTCTTCTATTCAACGCCCCAAGCCAAGGGGCCCCACACTTTGGAGTGCCTCCCTTGAAATTTTCTATAAGCCTTATTGGAACCTGGGACTACCCAGTGACGAGAGCACCATCTGGATGGGCTGCCCTGAAATCATTGTGAGTCCTGGTTTTCTCTTCTTTAGCCCTCGATCCCACCTAGAGCATTATTCAGATGCTCTGCAGAGCTCCAGGACTTATGCGTAGGACGTCATCTGGTTGCCTCTTGGCTAGGCCAATTCCAAGAAAGTAGCACTGCAAACAGGTTGCTAAGGCAGGTTAGCCAGGAACTTTCTTTTGAGGATTGTGTGAGATTTGGCTGCCAGAATAATAATAAATATATTCTAATTTGCGGGGGCATGGAGGGGTTCAAATGAATTATACCAACAGGAACCCTGAAAAAAAGTATTTGTCTGGGTCTGCATACTTCAGTTTACAGGATAATGGAAAAGGTTATCTTTGGTTCACTATGGTTGTAAAAGATATCAAAAACTAAAAATAAAATCCTATTCTCTTATAAGTAACACCCTAATGTAGAGGGAATAGTTATAATATTTTCTAGAATACATTTTCATCTCCATTGTCTTTAAGTATATGTCAGAGATTTTTGAAGAAAATTAATGCATCTTTTCAATGTTATTTGCAACTAATTGGTAAGACTACATAAAAGAAAATGAGAAATAGTGTAAGCAAAAGTTAAAAAAGGAACATTAAAGTATAAAGCGTTTTTCTCTTGTGCAGCATGCTCCTGGGTGATTTTATTTTCCTCTTGCTTAAGTGTTTAACATGTTGAAAGATTTCATTTTTTTCTCAGCTATATCCATACCACTATATTTCTAGAATAGCTTAGTGACCACACGAACTTATATTCCTAATAGCCAAATCATACTTCTTTGTAGGTAGAACTAGGTTAGTGCAGAGAGGGGAAAATGAGAAAGAATTAAGAGGACTTTAAAAAAAAAAGATGAAATAAAGTATTTATGAATTATGTTTAAAATGTTCCAGGCACTCAAATCCCAAATGCCAGGGGAATATATTTACAGCACTGCTCCTTTTAGGTTCTTTGCCCTGGATGAATAGCTTTCCAGGGAGAAGTCACATTCCAATGTTGACTTTTCATTTATCTTGAGAAAAGAAGTTGCCCTGTGGTGCCATCACCTGTCAATTACTTTGAAAGGAACTAAAACCAATTTGCTTTAATCTGTCTCTTTCTGTCTCTGTTCTTCTATCTCCAATTCTTTTTTGATGGCAAATCTTCCATTGAAATACTATAAACTTCTTATTTGAGCAGTCATAGTTAAAAGCTCTCTTTGAAATACTTTTCATCTAACCTGTCAATTCTAATCATAAAATCAAAGAATCTTAAAGAACTCGTTTCCATTTCCAAAATGTTTACTATAAGCCTTCTGTGTATAAAGCACTATGCCAGGTCCTTTGACGAAAAGCATAAATGAATAAGATAATATTTTTACTCTAAAGAATTTACAAACACATTGGAAAAGTTAAAATACTCTGAAATGTTTCAACTCACATTTCAGAAATAAACTAAATGTCTAATCAAAATATTTAAAACTGGAAAGAACCTTAAAAACAGTACTACAGAACAAGAAAACAAAACAAAAAAAATGCATGACAGAAACCTGAGTTCAATTTTCTTTGGTATCCCCTCCCTGCGAAGTGAATGTCTAAGGCATACTTACAGGGGTGTTCTGCAAGTATAGAGTCGTACTCATCGCAGGTGCGAATTCCATCAAAAGCATTTGTGACACACTCCCACCAGAGGCCTCGGCATTTTGTGCTCACCTAGACATGGGAGAAGGCACTGAGTGAAACAATTCATGCAGACGCACTTTAGTTCCTCTTGATCAGAGAAAGAATTCAGCTGTTGTGAGTTTGACAGCAAAGTACAGTGGCATGAGCATGATCAGAATTTCACTTACAAATAAACAATGCAATTTAGGGTATTTTCCCTTAAACACTAAGAATTTAAAGTCTTTCCCTATCAGGAAGTGAATTCACTTTCTGACTAGGGGTGGGAGGGATAAGTTATGCCTCAGCTGGATAAAAATCATAATTAAGCATATGCAGATGCCTATGGTGGTTCCATCATCCATAGTTTATCATGGAGATAGTTCATTTCACTCTCCTGTGCTGACATTTACTCACCCTCCCACCCAAAAATCAATATAACAATAGATAATAACTGTTGACATCTTGAGTCTATTAATAATGTTAATTTATCTTCATCATGAACACCAAGTTCCATGAAGAAAAATATTATAAATGAGGTTCATAAATTTAAAATAATTACCATAGGAAGCTATATATAAAAACACAAAAAATTAAATATAAAGACCTCACCATTTTTTCCTCGCTGTTCCACTGACAGACTACAATGGCTTATGCTATGATATGGATGTAAACAAACTAGCATTAATTTTAGACAATCTGACAGCTGTAAACCACTTTTAGTTAGAAATACTGTGCAAATCATTCTTGGTCTACTTAGAGCTAAAAGCTACCAGTGCTCTGAGCCTGCCCATACTTTATCTCTAAATTGTAAGTCACAATAGGTTTCTTAGAATTGTAAACACGCCAAGGGAAAATAGTCCCCAGCATTCTTGACAGAGTTCATGCATATGAAACAGAGCTAATAAGATTGTTTCTTTTGACTCAATTACTGACTCAATTACCTTGGCAATCTGAAATAGGTAAGATTTAGCAAGGGTTATCTTGGAAAATGAAAACTTAATCTTTTCTTTAAAGAAAGAATAAGTAACAGAGCAGAGTGAGGAGAGAAATACAAAGGCACGGAGATTATTGCAATCGGTGTGAAGAAAGGAAGGAACACAAAACACTTTGACTTACAAAAGAAAATTGTCATGGGTAATATTTGCGCTTGGACACTCTCTACCCTGTGTTCTGCTTTATAAAACTACTGAACTCTGCTGATGGTTACTTCACTACAATTTCAAATGTAGTACGTCTTTGGTAACTTTCTATGAAATAATTCTAACTAATAATAATAAATGATTTTTTAATTTAAATTCTTTATTATTCAAAGTATTACATATGTCTCCTTTTTCTCCCATTGACCTCCCCCAGCTCTCCCATCTCTCAGCACATGTCCTCACCCCCCCATTGTCTGTGCCCATTGGTTATGCTTATATGTATGCATACAAGTCATTTGGTTGATCACTTATTCCCCCTCCCACCTTCCCATGCTTTCCCTCTGAGGTTTGATGGTCTATCTCTTCTATGATGCTTTTGTTCATCAGTTTATGTTGTTCATTATATTCCACAAATGAATGATATTTATCTTTCTTCAACTGGCTTATTTCATTTATCATAATGCTCTCCAGGTCCATCCATGCTGTTGCAAATGGTAAGAATTTTTTCCTTTTTTACAGCAGCATAGTATTCCATTGTATAGCTATATCACAGATTTTTAATCCACTCATTTGCTAATTAGGATGTTTCCAAATCTTAGCAAATATAAATTGTGCTGCTATGAACATAGAGGTATATGTGTTTCTGAATGGTGTTTCTGATTTTATATATTACGAGAAGTGGGACTACTGTGTCAAATAATTAATACTTCTATATTGATTCTGTACTAATACAAGGCAGTTGCTGTTTAAGCATATTATTATTTCATTTATTCTTTAAAGGACCCTATGAGATATCATTATAATTGTCTATTTTATAAATAAGAAGAATAAGGCACAGGAAAGGTAAATGATTAACTTTAATAAAGCATTGTTAATAAATGGAGAAGATAGTAGTCAAACACCAGTCTGTGAGTATGGCCTTAAGCATTGAGGTACACTTAATACCCATTTTTAAAATTCCAAATCCATTCAGGCTAAACTACTCTGTTAATGAAAATTAAAAGATAGCTTTGGGTGAAACAGTAACCTTTACATTTATTTTCATCCTATGGGCCATTATTCTATAAAACTTCACTTTGGCTTGTTCTTCCTAAGGTAAAATCTGTAAGTGATATTCTGACAATTATGGAGTGTTGTTACAGGAAACTGAGGAATAATAAAGATCAATAATTCAATGAATAAAACCTATCTTGTGAAATTTAACACATCAATTTCTAAATAAGAATGTGAACATGTAAATTTAAGCTATAGCTGAAAACATATAGACTTTAAGTATAAATTGACACTCATTAGTTGTGTTGTATCTTACCTTTTTTTCAGCCTCTATCTCTTTATCTGTTTAGAGGAGATAATGCTAAAATGATTATGAGAATTAAAAAGTGCACATACACACACACACACACACAATTTCTCAGTAAATGATGACATTACTAAATAACTTAAACATCTTAGTAACCTGAGTAGTGGCTTTGTTCAGCTTTCCTGACTAACCAGAATGAGAGTAGAGAAAGGTAAATATCAGGAGCTGAATGGTGGTTGCCAAAAAGTTATGTCCATATCCTAGTCCTCAGAACTTGTGAATGTGACCTTATTTGGAAATATATATATATATATATATATATATATATATATATATATATGTAATTATGTTTATGATTGTGAAATAAAAAGATGGTCTTAGATTACCAGGCTAGGCCATAAATCTAGTGGCGTGTTTTCATAGGAGACAGAGGAGAGCCACAGACAGAAAAGAAGGAAGAAATGTGAGCACAGAGGCAGGGATGGAAGTGATGAGGACACAGGTGGAAGAATGCCCCACAGCCACTAGAAGCTGGAAATGGTAAGGGATAGATTCTCCCCTAGAATCTTCAGAGACAGTGCAGTCCTGCCAACACCTAGATTTCAAACTTCTGTCTTCCAGAACTTGTGTGAATGTGGACAAAAAAGGGGGAGGTTTGCTGTAAACAAATCTAGCAATTCTGGTAACTAAAAGTAACCTCTCAGGGTTGATCTGATCATAAATACACTATTGGGCAGCTTATGGCTAGTAGTCATGCCCAGGCATATAAGTTATTTCTATTAATTGGCTTTTTGTTATTTTATTATTATTATTATGATCATTATTATTTTATTGACTTCAGAGAGGAAGGAAGGAGGAGAGAGATATAGAAACATCAATGATGAGAGAATTATTGATTGGCTGTCTTCTGCACACCTCCCTCCCACCAGGGATTGAACCCAACTGGGCATATGCCCTGACTGGGAATCAAACCATGACCTCCCATTTCATATTCAATGTTCAACCACTGAGCCACACAGGCTGGGTCATATAACTTTCTTAGTAGAAGGTTTATTTTTGCCTTCAGCGAGCCCTGTCCATTGGTTTAGTGCATACAAGTAAACACAACTTTGGAAAGCTCTTTTTCAAAGCTCTGGGAAGTATAACCACCCTCAAGAGAACACATGTAACTATGTTAACTATCCTGTAATCTAAACCCTGACTTGCTTTCTCCCACCTCCAGGTCATCTTTATGTTCCCTCCTTAATTCCAAATGTACAAAAGAAACCACAAACTGTCATACTCTGGAGCATTTCAGATACTGCTTCCCAGCAATTATTGGGTTGGCCCAAATAAATTCTTATAAAAATACTCTGAAGGTTTGGACATTCTTACATCAACATTAAACTACCAGATTTGTGGTATTTTGTTACGACAGCCCAAGGAAACAAAGACAGTAGATATTATTTTTACTCAACTATTATACCATAACAAAAAGATGCTATAACTATTATCCTATATAATAAAAAGTTAATATGCTAATTAAACTGGACAGCCAAACATCCTTCCAGATGTTCTTCTGGACAAAGCTGGGGCTGCAAGAACTATCTTCCTGAATACCAGTGGGCAGGGGGCAGGGTCAGCAAGCCTATGCTGCCAAGCTAGCCACAGAGGCAGGAGAGTCAGTGGTGCAGGTCTGGTCCCAGCGTCCCCTGCCCTACCGCCTTCTGCAGAGGCGGCAGGAGAGGGATCATCATGGACCCAGCATCTCTGGAGAGACAGGACAGGGAAAAACCACAACGCCTCAACCTCCCACAGCCTCTCCTCTGGCCAATCTGTTCCCAATCGGCCCCCCACAAGTGGGCGGTGGTCGGGGCCAGTGCTAAGGAGCAGTTTTGGTTGAGGGGCTTTCCCCCCCCAACCCCCGCACTCTCCCGTCCCAAAACTGCTCAGAAGCTGGGCTCATGGCTGGCAAGGACAACAGTGGTGGCAGGAGCCTCTCCTGCCTCCGGAGCAGGCATGCAGTAAGGAGCGAGGAGTCCTAGACTGAGAGCCTCGAACTGCAGGAGGATATCTGAGTGCTGGCTTAGGCTCAAGGGGACCGGTCTAAGCCGGCAGGTGGATTCCTGTGGGGTCCCAGACTGTGAGAGGATGCAGGCTGGACTGAGGGACACACCCCACAACCCAGTGCACAAATTTCATGCACTAGGCCTCTAGTACAAACCATAATAGAAAATAGACCTTCTCATAGCCTGTCAATCTCTCTGTTGAAAGAAACACTTGGGATCCAATTTATTTCAAATTAAGCTATAGATTATGTGGACTTGAAGTTACTTCTTAATAATCGAAGAATGACTATCTACAATTTTCTTCTAACTCAGCCACTAAAAAAACCTATCCAATCTACTATGGCTATTCTTGTTATACCTGACATTATTTAGAAATTCACCTGAGATATATATGTGAGAATATTTATTTTTACATAAAGAGTATTATATTTCTTTCATACCAACATTATCCAGTAGCGGTGTCATTTTCAAGGCTATTGACCATTTACCTACAATGACCATATTTAGAAAAGCAATGAGCTCATTAGAGGAAACAAGGAATCCAATTTCATTAGGTATTAATGC